CATGTCTTCTCATTAGCGAATCTCTAGGTTACTCCTTTAAGCATTTTGTTAGGAGTAGGGTGTATTTTATCAATCCCAACTTACAAACAAGCTCTTATGTCCATCAATTACTTGTCTAAAATGGAACATATCAAAAGTATGTTACAATTTCAATCTAAGAAAAGGTAAATTGTCCAAAACAAAACTCAAAGAAAGCATTTTGCTATTTTATATACTACAATCTTTAAATCCTACAAATCGCTAAAACAAACGAAATTTGTATAAAAAATTAAAATAAATAAGAAAACATATCTTTTAAAATACTATTACACATATCAAAGCAAAACCGAACCCAAAAACTGAAATTGAAGCATAAATCGATAGTTTAGGTTTTAGCTATTCAAAAATCGGAAGTTTTGGTGTGGATTCAGTTTCGATAAATATAAGAAACCGAGAAAAACGAACCGAACAGAAGTTTATAGAAACATAAAAAATTATACATATTAATATATTATATATAAATCAGCATAAATAAATCACATGTATTAGTTTTGTTGGGTCGGTAAAGTGTTGTTCATTGCTACTAGTGGTCTTGTGTTTGAATCTTATTTTGCTCTTTCTTTCCATCTTCATATATCTTATATGACAACCACTAAAGTCGTCCCACATCACCCATTACACACAACTTCTACAATCTACATCGCCCATTAAACACAACTTCTACCCTCCACAACTCTTATATGATGAACCATTGCATACAACATCAACCCATCTCAGCCTCTATATAATGACTTGCAAAACTTATAACTTAGGTTGCGATTTGGTTTGGGTTTAAACCTGAAACCGTACCAGGAAAACCGAGAAACTGAACCCATAAATTTGGGTGTTGAAATGGGCTTTAAACATATGGAAACTGATATTATAGGTTTGTGTTCGGTTGTAGGTCGAAACCAACCCAAACTGTCCCATATTCATATCTGATCCCATCAAACTAAATATAAAATATAAATGTAAAAAAATAGGGAAAATGGCACATTAGTTATACAGTGTATTGCACATTTTCCCATTCAATCCCTAAACCTATTTTTGTGCTTTATGACGAAATAAAGTGGGTTATGAAATGCTCTTTTAGTATTTTAACCTCTAATAGCAGGTACACAATGCCACATGTATTCTGAAAGTATGAAACGATGCTCGGCTGTGAATCTCACAATTATACTAATGCCACATGTTTTAACTTTATATCAATTGACCTCTAATGTAGCTACTCCTTCACCCCCTAATTCCTCTTATTTCTTCAATAATCAATCAAAACAACGTTGGAATGGGTGGTTCTAAGCTACGTCGCCGCAGCCGAAGCCGTCGTGATCATCCTCCTAACCCTCCTGGACCTTGATGTACTCAGGAAATATCTTATCATCGTTACAACTAGCCTCCTCAAACCCTTCCTTCCCGTTGTACCCGTTTGTCTCTTTTTGCTAGCAAACATCTATTGGAAGTACAAATTGATGCCCAACTGTGAATCTCAGAACTGCTCACCATCGGAGCACCTCCGCCACCGGAAATCGATCATGAAGAGTCATCGCTCGTCTTATACTGGATCTTGTACTCTATTATGAAGCTTGTTGTTCGTGTTGACCACCTCCATCAACGAAATGAGAAGTTGAAGAACAAGGAGTAAGTTGTCGATCTGTAATCCTTTTATTGGGGGATTTCGATAAGTTCTCTATTGATTTGGTTAGCTTTTGTTATTGAAGTTCTATGAGTATGTATCTTTGTTGGATATCATTCGAATTTGAGGCTTGATGAATTCTGTTACTATTGTTTTAGTGCAATTGGTATCGATTTGAGTTGTCACGGAGACATAAGTTAAGTTATCATTCGTTATATGCAAATATGTTATCAATTTGGACCAAGATTCAACGATTTTCTTTTCCAGATAAAAATGCTTGTTTATAATACAATTGTTGAATGTTAATATGTAGAGGTTGGAGGTCGTAGAGTGACGGGATCGTTGCTGTTGTGGTAGCTACGACAACCCGCCACCGTCCAACTCATCAGAAACAACCCTTATTGGGATTGTCTTTCTCACTAGCTGTCATTGATTACTATTATAACGGTTATTTTAGACTTTTCAAAGTCAACAAGTGTCTATGTGGCAAAAGGGTAACCGAGTTAGAGTTACCATTTCATTTTGTCCAAAGTGACCAATTAAACCCAGGGGCGGAATTAGGGGGGGTCACCGGTGGCACCGGCAACCCCTAACTTTTCCGGACGCAGTGAAAAATTTTTCGAAAATTTTTATTTTTTCTACTATTGTGTAACCCTAACTTTTCCGTGCACCCCTTACTGTGAAATTCTGCATCCGCCCCTGATTAAACCCGACAAGAAACAACTTTATTCCCTTATAAAACACGAAAATAAGTTTAAACACTAAATATACAAATATACAATACAGGCTAATATGTCATTTTCTAAAAAAAAAAAATCAAACTAAATATAAAAAATAAAACTGTTGTCCACCCAAAAGAATTATTCAATGTTGTACGGGGAAAAAGCATGTGAATAGTAGTAGGTCTATCAAATGAGGTTTGTACAACTTCCAATGGATATTGTAGAGCCAACTAAACCATCGGTATAACACCCAATTCAACAAGTACATATAAACGGAAACGTGCACCCAACAAATACTGTATTGCACACCCAAAGGGCAATAATGTAGTTAGCAGCACATTTTTTTTCTCCAATCAATTAGATAATTTAATTTAATGTTTATTTTTCCAAAAAAGAATCTAATATTTTTTGTCATAATCGCGACGCCTCTTTGGGTTTTGGTTCGAAAAGAACTCGACGACGGTTAGCGTCTTTCGATATTTGAGCATTCTTCACCCTTTGCCACTTGGTCTTTTCAATATTTACAACTTAGCCCCGTGATATATGTGTTGTTTCAACACATAAAATAGTTAAATTAATGATCATTTTTTTTTAATATTTATGACAAAATAATCACACATTTACAAAAATGGATTTCCATAAATATTTTCCAAAACGTTTTTTTAATTAATGTCTAAACTCCAAACTTCATAAATAAATAAAATTCTTAATTTTCTAGGCATTGATGGTGACATTTTTTTTAAAACAATCTTTACAGATGAATGAATCATTAAAATAATATTTATTTATAACATTTATATAAAATATATTATTTTATTATAAAACTTCATAAAATTTGATCATTTTAATGATTGATAAACACAAACAAAATTTTGTAAAAGTTCAAACACATGTTACACATTCATTCAACAAAAAAACACATAATTACCAACAAAAACTTTTGACATCCTTTATACCTAACCATGAACAACTTTTGACAAATGTAAAATTGCCACAAGAACAAATAAACAACTTTTGACAAATGTAAAATTGCCAACAAGAACAAATAAATCATCGACAACGAACATATAATTAACACATAACAAAAATTAATTTATGACATATGTATTACGACAAGCCAACAATAACAAAAAGTTGAGAAATATTGACGGTGATAGATGCTTTGATATCAATTAAGATAGAATTTCTAAATTTGGAATATCTACTTTATACTTATATTCCCACAAATCCTACCTCAACCATCTTAATATAAGATCTTGCCAAATCTCCATTCTAACATCTTATTCTCCTTATGGATAGTCTCTTATACAAAGTTTTATCATTGACATAATTAGTCTATTATATGTTATGATGACCAAGATAAAATGTTTATACTTTCTCCCAATAATAGGAATTTGACATAGAAAGATGGAAATTCTAAGAGCTATTTATCGACAATATATTAAATAAAGAATAAAGCTTTACATAGACATAACGGGTAATGAGCAACAAACTGTGCCGCAATCCCCTTTTTTGATGGCAAAACTCATTATTTTAAAAACAACATCTATAGATCTTGGAGTCATAACATTACTATGCATGACCCGTTGGACTCTATTTAGTAGCTCCACAGCTTCTGACGCAAGGAAACCGAAATTATAAAATGCAAAGAGTATAAACGTGTGTTGATTTTTCATGCACACTTTCTCATGTTTTGCTACTTTACTTGATACAACTTTTAAAACAGCTTGCCCCACAGTGAAAACCCCACTCCCCAAGCCCACAAGAGGGGAAACCCCTATTAGATCCACACATGCTTGTTTTTCTTCAGCCCATCCAAATACTAAAACATCAGCTGATGTAAGTGTTGATCTTCCTTTCAATGAGTCAGTCAGAAAATTCATAGGTGCCTCTTTCTTGGCAGAAACCCCAGCGCGCCTAAATATGTCGAAAAGAACATCCCTAATCAGATCGTGTCGGTACTTGAAACCCGAGAGCTCTTTATAATGAAATGCATGATCCTCAAAGGAGTCCAAGCATGCCTTGCGACAAACAGGGTAACTCTCGTCACCCGTAAATTACCGTTACTTATCTCTCTTTCTGACTGACTGATAGAACCGTCGAGCTGCTGATGAGCGCTAAAATGATCATAAGACGATACTTAAAGATGACACGATACTCCACTGGCGACATATGTTGGCCAAGACCGTCAATAGGAATAGTTATAAGAAAATCCTGACGACATAAGATGGAAATGTAAATTGTAGAAAGGTCATTTTAAATTCATCAAGATAACATCAACAAGGAATGACTTTGTTCTCATGAAACCTGTCCGTAAATAAAAGCTTAATGTTCAAGTAAACAAAATAATTGTCAATGACAAAACTATGCAATTCGATGAAGATAATGCTAAAATATAAAGGGCTATAGTTGTTCAAAAGGAAAACCAAGAGGTGAAATCTGTATACTGAACAATAGTTGAAGGCATGATTTTGTGATTCTTGTTTAGTTGCAATATATAGTTGAGAAAAAAAAAATACTAAAATAGTCCGTTCCCAGTAATCGATAGTACTTGTTTTCTACCCTTGACTTTTCCCATTATTTACAACCCTGAACCTCAATATTTATAGTTTTTTACTTTCTTAAATCTTCAATTACGCCTCTATATTTTAGGGGAATATTGAGGTGATAGGCGTTAAGTATTAACGAGGGAGGCTGCTCGTGTTGTTGCAATAATAAGCAATAAGCACTCCCAATACAAAACCCTTTTGCTTCTTGGGAGTACCTCTCCTGCTCTCTGCTCAAAAACCAATAAAAAGATATCTTTTCTCGTTCAAGGGTTCTCCAAGATTCGATAAAAAGGTGACCCTTTTTCGTGATTCGATTATGTTTGTGTATCTAGAACACGTTCTCAATCTTGGGTTTGTTTCTATTTTTGTTCTTGTTCCTGTTCTTGATGATGTTGATCAATGTCGAGGTTCTGAAGACATGTTTCTGTAACGTTTAGGTTGTTCTTACTTTTTCTTACGATTCTTCATCTGGGGTTTACGAAAATTTTCTTGATCATCTTCCTATTTGTGTTCTTGTCGAGTGTTTTTGCATGTTGAAATCATAATAAGGGGTTTCGGCAATGCGGGTAAGACTTTTATAGGATTTTTTAGTTTTTTTATGGCGATTGATGCATGAACATTGTAATAGCAAGTTGGGAATTTTACTTCTGTTATTCAACGAGCAATACATCCTTCAAGAGTTCAATCAAACTGGGTTTTGTTTCTATTTTTCTTCTTGTCCCTGTTCTTGATGATGACGATCAATGTCGTCGTGCTCTACGTGTAGATTGATTTTGTGTTCGGGGTTTCAATTTCTTTTTCTTGATCGTAACATCTCTCGCTTTACATGATTTAAGAGCCCTAATTTTGACTTTATCTATTTCAGTAGGGAGTTCAATAAGCAAAAAGAAATCAAGTTTGATGGACAATGAAGTGTATGTAGAACAACAAGTGCCATATGGTGTTCTTACAGGCATTCGATTTAAAGTTCTATCTGAAGAAGATGCCGTAAGCAGATCATATCTTTTTTCTTTATTTTTTCAACACCGTTTTGTACAAATAGTCAAATCTAATTAAATAATTTATAATCATGTATGTAACAGGAGAAAGCATCTGTGAAGGAAATCTCTGTACCAAATGAAGTAACAGACCCTGCATTGGGGTTCCCAAATCCCGCATCACAGTGTCATACATGTGGAGCCAAAGATTATAGAACATGTGAAGGTATGAAAAGAGTTATGGTGTTTTTTCTCATGCTTTTTTGTATTTTATAAAAAAAATTAATTCAGTCATTGATTATTTTACAGGTCACATAGGCTTAATAAAATTTCCGTTCACAATACTTCATCCATACTTCTTACCTGAAGTGGCACAAATTCTGAATAAAATCTGTCCAGGATGTAAAAACCTTAAAAAAGATAAGGCCAAGGTCAGGTATTATGCTGCATGTTTTTTGTTAGTACTTAGTACAAGAGTAAAATACAAACAAAATCAACATTTTATAATGAGTTGTATGAAATTAAATCCTAGCATTAAATTATTTTTGAATTTTGTTTTTTGAAAATACAGAAAACTGACATGGAATCCATCGTTCAAATGCCGAAAATTTGCAAATATTGTGATGTAAGTATCTTCTGAATTGTTATGTCTTCTCTTTTTAAGTTACAAATTTGGTGAAAAGGTGTTTTCCTTTTTTATTTCTCTTTTAACAGAGAGGCTTTAGAGATGTTTATCCACCTATGAAGTTTAAAGTTTCCATGAAAGATGTATTTGGAAAGACTGCAATTGTTGTAGAAAGTTCTAGAAAGCTCATATCGGGTAAAAGCTTACCTCCTGACTATTGGGATTTTGTTCCTAATGACCCTCAACAAGAAGATTCATTTTCAGCTTTTAACCGAAGAGTTCTTACACATGCACAGGTACCCTTTTGATGACATTTGCTATTTTTCACATTATTGATGTGCTAATTGCTCATATATTGATTTCCAACAATCTTTAGGTGTATCAAATACTCAAAGATGTTAATCCAAGCTTTCTCAAAGGATCTTTAGGGAAAAAAAACAAGATTTTTCTCCAAAGCTTCCCTTTAACTCCCAACTGTCATCGCGTAGCAGAGTTTGGACAAAATTTTGACATTTGTAAGTTTCTTTTTATCCCCATCATACATTTTTAATTCCAGAAATACCCTCCTGTATAATCAAGTAACATAATTTTTTTTTGATTTCAGGATGAACGCACAAGAGCCTATAGAAAAATGATAGGTTTTCGAGGCACTGCAAACGAACTTAGTGCATGTGTAATCGAGTGCATTAAACTTTCAAAGGTTAGCAAACATCATAATCTTTTAGTTTAAACCCAAAAAGATGGAACAAAAAGACGTAAATGCCCTTGTCCTCAATTTTGAACTTTTGATAACACTGCAGATTCGGGCAGAGAAGCCTTCATTTCGAATGAATACAAATGGAAACAATGATGATAATCCTTCCAAAATGCACGGGTTAAAATACATAAAAGAAGTAAGTCTTGGAAAAAGAACCGATTTTTGTTTCAGAATGGTGTGTGTAGGTGACCCTTACATAAAACTAAACGAAATAGGCGTCCCTCATCATATAGCAGAAACAATGCTTGTTTCAGAGCAACTGAATTCATTAAATTGGGAAAAAATAAACGCATCATGTGGTTTAAGAATCCTTCAAAGGGGTGAAACTTTTATCAGAAGAAGAGGAGGTTTAGTTCCAGTTAGATATGGAGATCAGTTAAGAATTGGTGACACGGTTTATCGACCTCTTCATGATGGAGACATTGTTTTGATTAATCGCCCTCCATCTATTCATTCACATTCCCTAATTGCCCTTCGGGTCAAAGTTCTTCCTATTGACTGTGTTCTTTCAATCAACCCTCTTATTTGTTCCCCTTTGAGGGGCGATTTTGATGGAGACAGTCTTCATGGCTACATTCCTCAATCTTTGGAATCTCGGGTTGAACTTGCTGAACTTGTTTCATTGGAAAAACAAATGGTTGATAAACAGAGTGGTAAAAATTTATTATCTTTAAGTCATGATAGTTTGACTGCTGCCCATTTGATGTTGGAAGATGGGGTTTTTTTCAATCGACCACAGTTGCAACAGCTTCAAATGTTTTGTGCAAATCAGAAAATAAAACTTCCAGCTATCATGAAAAAGTTGAAGAATTCACAGTTTAATGATATGTCTAAATCTTGTTTATGGACTGGTAGGCAGTTGTTTAGTCTTGTTTTGGATAAAGATTTTGATGTCAGTGTAAATGGGACTGAAATTAAAAAAGGGGAATTTGTAAGTGTGTTGTATCCTTCTTCTTGTTTACAAGAAGGTGATGAGAATCTATACAGTTACTTGATCAAGAACTATGAAGGGAAAGAGGTTCTTGAATTTCTTCATTCTTTTCAAGAATTGCTTATCGAATGGCTGTCAATGAGGGGATTCAGTGTTTCTTTGTTGGATCTCTACCTTTCTTCTGATTCACAAACGAATATGAATGATGAAGTTCTTTATGGGTTGCTTGAAGCAGAGAGACAAGCTCACGGGCAGCTGTTAATGGTGGATGCCCATCAAGATTTTCTGACCGGAAACCTGCCCAAAAATGAAGCATACAATGAATTGGATTCCAATAAACTGTGTCATGATCAGCAAACTTCAGCTGCATTAAGTCGAGCATCGGGTTCTGCTTTCAAGGAAGTGTTTCGTGACATTCAAAATCTTATTTACAATTATGCCACTAAAGAGAACTCCTTTCTTTCAATGTTGAAGGCAGGGAGTAAAGGAAACATGTTAAAGTTTGTGCAGCATAGTATGTGTGTGGGGTATCAACATTCTTTGGTTCCACTTTCCTTCCACTTTCCTAGAGAATTCTCTTGCATTTCATGGAATGATCACAAAAGGGCAGTTTCGTCTTTTCCTTTGGGGATAGACCGATATGTTCCTTATGGTGTGATAAAGAGTTCGTTTTTATCGGGTCTTAACCCGTTGGAGCTTTTTGTTCATTCGGTGACAAATCGGGATGCTTCGTTTGGTGGACATGCGGATATTTCCGGAACTTTATTTCGAAAATTAATGTTTTTCATGCGAGATATTTACATTGGATATGATGGAACAGTTAGAAGTTGTTATGGGAATCAACTTGTCCAGTTTTCTTATGGTCAAAGTGAGTCACTTTTAGAGGAGGCTGAATGTGGTGCTCCGGTGGGTTCATTGGCGGCATGTGCCATCTCAGAGGCGGCTTATGGTGCTTTGGATCAACCAATCAGTGCACTCGAGAATTCGCCTCTGTTAAACTTGAAGGTAAAAAAAGGGGAAAGTTTGTAAAATTTATACATTTTTTGTTCGATAGAATCTAATGGAATTTCTGTTTAATTGTACAGAAAGTGCTTGAATGTGGTGTTAGAAAGCTTAGTGGTAACAAAACTGCATCACTTTTTTTGTCTCAAAAACTTAAAAGATGGACGAATGGATTCGAATATGGGGCTATAGATGTTAAAAACCATTTGGAGAAGTTATTGTTTCAAGATGTTGTTTCGCTTGTCACCATATTGTAAGATCTTTTTCCCTTTATTTTTGTTTTGAGTTTCTTTTTTTGGAAAGTTTGTTGACTATTCTTGTTGACTAGCTATTCCCCACAAACCGGAAAGCGTGCTCATGTTAGCCCTTGGATTTGCTATTTTCGTATAAGCAAGGTAATGCAACAAATCTTACATTTTTATCCCTCTATCTATACATACCCAAAGGGTGTTTTAGTCATTTTGGTCTTGTTTTTTTAATTCTTGCAGGAAGCTGCTTGTAGAAAGCAATTAAAAGTGCAGTCAATTATCAATGCTTTGAAGTTAAAGTGCACTGACTCTATCAAATTGAAGAAATTAAAACTCACTCTACCCAAATTACAGATAGCATCCAAGTATGATATCTGAAAATGTTTGTTTTATCTGATGATGTGTTCAAATATCCTCTTAGTTACAAGATTTCTTGATTAATTTTCAGAAATTATCCTGAAGATGATGCAATGAGTGAGAATGATGAAAACATTTTTATTACTGCTCAAATAATTGAAGACTCGAGCAATTCATTGGATCTCCTTCAAGATGTAGTCGTGCCATTTCTTCTTAAAACTGTTATAAAAGGTCACTATAAACTTCCTGCATCAATTAATCTCCTCAAGATGTGATCTTTACAAATGAGAAAAAGCTTCAAAATGTAGTTGTGCCTAGAAGGGTAGTATTGCCATCTTTGCTTCTTAGATCAGACTTTTAAGAATCAAAGATTTACAATGCTACTACCCTTCCGAAAGAACGTTATCTTTTCTTAATCATTATCTTACAGTTGTTTCTCATTTGTCATATCACATGCTATTTAGGATCTTCAAACGTGAAGAAAGTGGACATCTTGTGGCAAGATTATCCAAAAACATCAAAATCTTGTAGAGATTCTTCAGGTGAACTTTATTTGCGTGTTTTCATGTCTGAAAATTGCGAAAGAAGGAATTTCTGGAGGTTTTTAGTGGACGATTGCATCCAAATCATGGATATGATTGATTGGGAAAGAAGCCATCCAGATAGCATTGAGGATGTGATTTTGGCTCAAGGAATCGATGCAGCAAGAAACCATTTTCTCTCTGTATGTTTTACCAAATTCTTTTCAATTTCACATTACATCATATTCCTTTATGATGCCCATGACATGACAAATTGTACTATGTTATACATACATTGGACAGTGTAACAAAGTTGTAACTGGTTTCCTTAAATGCAGACACTAAAATCAGCCATAGCAGATACTGGAAAAAGCATACTTCCAGAACATTTGGCTCTAGCTGCTGACTGTTTATCAGCTACAGGAGAATTTGTTCCTATAAATGCTAAAGGCCTATCAATTCAGAGAAAACAAATGTCTGCTTCTTCACCTTTTACCCAAGCATGTTTTTCCGTGAGTATTTGGAGAAATTCTTTTAATGTTTTTCATAAACTTTTTAATTTTCTTGTATTCTAAAATTGGATTATGTTTCATTTCAGAATCCTTCCGATTGCTTTGTGAAAGCAGCAAAAAGCGGGGCATCAGACAAACTTGAGGGCACAATCGATGCTTTATCATGGGGAAAAGTTCCCGCCCTCGGGACTGGATCAAGATTTGATATTATATTTTCCGGAAAGGTATAATTTTTTATTTTATTTTATTTTTTTTACAAAGTTTATGTATTCGTTGTATTGATGATTATATGTATTTTATGGTTTGATAAATGACACAGGAACATGAAATTGATAAACCAGAAGATGTATATAGTCTGTTGAGCAAGAGTATAGAAATTGATGAAGAGAAGGGTGAGGTGGCGGTTGAGGTTAATGATGATAATAAGCAGCAAACTGGCAACAAAACTCCTGCCCCGTTGTTTCAATATCATAAATTTGCTGCAGAGGGTGGAACAGACATTATGAAAATGGTGTTGAGAAAACATATTTCGGCTGAAGATATTAAGCGATTGTCTAAAGATTTGAAGCATATACTTTACAAGTAAGTTTATGTTTTTTCTTGGGTATATAATCTTTCATTATTCTTGAATCATATTATAATACATATATATATATATATATATATATATATATATATATATATATATATATATATATATATATATATAGGTACGATGTTAATCGCAAGTTAAGTCAAGATGACAAGCTTGTTGCATGGAAAGCTTTGTTATTGCACCCTCGAAGTGATGAGAAGATTGGAGCCGGGCCCTACGAAATTAAGGTAGAGAACTGGTTGAATTCTCTTTTTTGTTTTTGTTTTTTTTTTTAAATGTTTTATTTTGTTACATATAAATGATATTAGGTGGGGAACCACTCGAAGCATGGAAATACACGATGTTTTATTCTGGAAAGAGTAGATGGAACAGCTGAAGATTTCTCGTATCACAAATGCATACATCATGCCTTGAAATTGATTGCTCCTGATGAAGCCAGATTATATGAATCAAGATGGTTGAATGGGAAGAAATATTAACAACAAGGGTTTGGGTTTTGTTTTAATAAAAATCTGTCATGTAATATGTGTTCTTTGTTTTTAAAAAATATATAATATAATTAGGGGAAGATGTTCTTCAGCTTCTTTTTGCTGCTTCCACTGAAATTTGTTTGCGGAGAGAACCTGGCGAGGAAGTCTTAGTGGAAGTAGCAACGAGAAGCTTGGAACAATCAAATAATCCCCCCCATTTTCCTCCTTCCTTTGTTTAATGTCTTGTATTTTGGTTTAACTTTGTTTTCCTAGTTGAAATATATGTCAACTTTAGTGGCTATGATTGTTGTTTTCAGTTCTCATGCTAAATTCCTTTCTCCGCTAAATACTGCCACTAAAATTTTTCACTCGGTTGTTGCAGGATAAAGTAGGGTTTAGAAACAGCATTTCACATCGTTGGTGTCTATAGTAATTCATATCAGTTCGTATGTGTATCAATAGGGGTAATCTATCATGAGCATAGTCTACTACATTAAAAGAACCCTACAAATCAATGTATAGATTGTAATATCCTACAAATTGTTTTTTTGCTGATCAAAGTTTATTCAATTAGGTTCACGTCTTGGAAATAAGAAAATTATAAACTATTAATTCTATTGTGTGTTATGTTCTTAAAATATTCTTGAATCATATTATACGTATAAGAACATATAAACAAAAAGACACAATTTCTGTTCTTGGTATTAATTTACTCAAGAAAATTAGTCCTAGACTAACAAAAATTTATGTAATTTAGAAGATAGTATCTAAATAAAGAATATCATTATTATTCTAAATAATTATCTAATTTTTGTAAATGACATTTCACTTTAAGGTCGAAGGTTATGAGAATTAAATTTTGGAATATTTTATTTAATGTCTAGCGATCATCGGTATGCCAGCTTGACGTGGTAAATAATATTCTAATTAACGTGTGCCTCCTAAAATAAAGAAACGAATTATTCATAAACAGAATGTCCGTTTATGAGATACACTTAACAATAATCAAAATAACTCAATCTAAATCTCGTAAAGAAAATAATAAAATCTTATTGAATTGGAATGGTTTGCGAATGAGTTTCAACAAAGTGGTCTATAAAAATTTGAAGTCCCAAAATTAAAACTTAATTGCTCGTTCGATGACTGAATCATGATATTTTATTTTTTTATGAGGATTTTTTTTTTACAATTGTCATTATTCCACGATTTCAACCTGAAGCAATTTGTACCCATGAGGCCATATAGACACATAAGTACGTTTGAAAAAAAACATTGAGGGAACGTGTGCGTATTATAATAATCCCATGGATCTAAATCTTGTAGGTGTATGATTGAGACTTTGAGACAACCACATCTTAGTTGATCATAAATAATTTAAACCAGTTTCTTTATTTTTATTTTATTTTACATGTCCTGCGCAAGTTTATTAAGGGACTAAATCACTACAATACTACATCTTATTGACTTATTATTATTTTTATTATTTGATCAATATTCAAATCTAAAAAGTTTTGTTTATAATGGGTAGATCTCAATTGTACAAATTAATTTAGGATATGAATAGAGTATCTCATAGTTGGGATGATCGATTAGTTCTACTTATCTAAAGTTTATCAATACTAATACTTTAATATTTTTTTAAGATATAAGGATTACTAATTGTTTCTACATAAGTTTAATTTAAGTGGTTTTGTTCTTTACATGCCTTGTATCTTTCTAGGTTTGATATTATCATATTTGTCATTATGTCCACATATTGGGTAGGGGAGCCCATTAAATGCCATTTCCATTTAACTGTGGTCGTACGTTACGGGTTTTTTTGTGTGGTCGATTTGTTGTTTTTGTTCCATACATTTGCAATAAATTTTGTGATTTCGAATCTTCTTTTACACACATCATCATTTTCTTAAATTATGTTGTAATAATGTACACATGATGTGTTCAATTTTTTTTGGTTGTCCGTTTATTAGATGTTTGTGATAACAATAACTTTGATTTTTTTTTTTTTTTTTTTTTTTTTTTTGTAGAAAAATATTATAGTTTGATGTATATCCAAAAATATTATACTAGTTATGATAACATATTTATAAGATGGAGAATTTTGTATATGTACTTTTTAAAGATAAAATTATTATATTTGTCCAGCCCAATTTCAAAATAGTATATTACCTTCATAAAGTTTCAAAATATCAAAAAATCAAAATTCTTATTTGTAACATTTTAAAATATTTTTAAGTATTTTTCTTTTTTATATTTTAAGATCATTATAAAGAAAAAATAAAAAGGCGGTATTGCCCCCTTTTGGTTCAGCCCAAACCAATGTGCCAGATAGTCACCTGGAATCTGGATTACTTAATTGCTCTTCACATGAAAATTTCTATCAAACTACAAATAATAATACCAAATTTTCTCGTTAATCTTGTTTTCCTTTTATGGTATGGAATTGAAGTTATGGAACCCATCTAGATGCTTCCGATCTAAATGTGTTTAATTACAACGGATATAGTTTTAGATATTGGATTAATAAATGTTAGCAAGTGTTGTATCTTAAACTCCAATGTGGTCAGTTTGTTATTGATTTTTTTTCTCAGAAAGTAACTTTAGGATTAAATCAGATGTAAATCTAAGAGAAAAAACACTTAAAAATAGAGACAAATCGCAATAATAGTTCATCAATGATTAATTTAAGAAGAAGAAGAAAGTTAAGCAATTTAGGAGAGGGCTCATGTTTCTAATATCATGACTGAAAATTATTTCGTCAATTTAGGAGATGGAGAATATGGATTCTAATATTTAAACTATAATGATTCTAATATATATAATTAATAGATTTCTAATATATTTACAATAAAGATTTTGATAAATATGATATTTTAAAAATTGATAAAGAGTAAAATGATATTTCTAAAGTGTGCCGGACAAATATAAAAAATTGATTTTTTTTTCTTTAAATTACATATATGAAACTCTACATTTATAAAATTTAAATTTTTATATGTTGCTAAATATAGAAAGAAAAATTTTGAATTATTATATAAACGTAGTGTAACTAGGGTTGCAATCGTGTGGTTTTCAGTTTTGTTGGTTGCGGGTTGGAGGGTCATAAATGTTCAACCTAGACATGACCCATATGAATATTCGTATCGTTTTGCTCAACCATAACCTAAATTAGCTACAAACAAGTCAACCATCATAACTCGTTTAATTATATGGGTTCGTAAGTTCATGTGCTAGATTCAAATTCGTGGGTCAGAATCATCAAAAAAAAGTCTAAATATCCCATATTACTTATTAGTTGTTACTATCTCATTTATTTAATAAATATATATTTTCATTTTTGTATATCTAATAAAATAAACGGTTTCACGGGTCAACCTGCAAAATTATTTGCAAACCCGAACATGACCCGTAGAATAAACGGGTTGTCCGGATGGAAAAACTCAACCACAACTCGTTCATCTTTATGTGATGTCGTGATTCGTATCGAAAATTGCCGCTCCTAACTCCTAAGTATAACCATTAAAGCAACCAATGTATTGGTTTAGAATATAGATGTTATCCTCTTTTTTTTTGGAAACAGTAAATATTATTAAAACGAACCCCCGACTAGCAAGTAACTAGCAAGAGGACAAGAGTACATAAGCAAAAGCTTTTCATGGAAAGGGAAATATTAATTGTTAAATAGAAATTAAAACTGAAATGGAGAAGAGATCCAATTTTTCCAATCTCCAATTACTCCTTTGCCCCTGGTCTGTATCCAAAAGAATGCCACTGACTTGATGGCCCCTGCATCATGAGTGGGATTTTGGAATAGTCCGTTGAACACCCGATCGTTTATGAACTTCCACAGAATCCAGAGTAAGCCGTGACAAATGGTAATGAATCTCTTCCTCTTCCTTGGGCATCTTCCCCAGTTTTCTACAAATGCGATTAGATCTCCAACTGATGTGAAAGACTCCTGTTGTAAGCCGCACCAAGTGAATATTATCTTCCTGACCTCGCAAGCAAATGGACATTGTATGAGGATGTGATCAGAGCATTCCATTCCATTAACACAGGCACCACATTTGTCATTTTCGATGTTAACTCCTTTTTTCCTAAGTGCCACTGCCGATGAGATCTTCCTTTGTATCGCTCGCCATATGAAGCATTGACTTTGTTCGGGGATATCTTATTCCATTTAAAATATGGTAAGACACGGTTGGGGAATAGTAACTGTTATAGTTTTCTCCTTAGTGTGCTCACTGTGAATTGACTGCTATTGTCCATTGCATAAGTCCAATAATCTTCTCCCGGTACCAAATGTACCGAGGATAAGTCATGATTAAGGTTATCGATGCATTGCAAATCATGAACCCCATCCACACTAGATTTCCAGTGAGATGCGAACTGATTATTGACAATCCTATCAGCCACTGTACATTTCTTTCTATATTCGAGCTCAAGGAGGGATGAATATTTTTCACCAAGTGTAACCGATCCTAGCCACTTGTCGTACCAGAAGGATGTATTTTCTCCGGATTTAATGTGTAATTGGAATATATCCGTATTTTCCAAACCAAATTTTTTGAGTTCGTTTTTGCATGCTGCAATGTTGTTCCATACTCCCCTTATTTTTTGATTTGAGAGATAGTCATGAGGTTTATTGTAAAGGTTGTGAATTCCTTTTATGACTTTGGCCCAAAGTGAATCCTTTTCAATTTTCAAGCGCCACCACCATTTTACGAGCAGACTAGTATTCAAGGTACGAATAGTTCCCACTCCTAGACCGCCTTCGAATTTGGGAGCAACGATTTTGTCCCAAGACACCCAATGGATTTTCTTTTTGCTTTCATCTCCACCCCATAGGAATCGTCGTCTTATTTGATAAAGTTTATCCGTGACAGCCACCGGGGTTTTAAAAAGAGAGAAAAAATATGTGGGAAGGTTCCCCAATACTGAAGTGATTAATGTCAATCTTCCCCCTGAATGAAAGTGACTTTGATTTCCAAGAAGATAGCTTGGATTGGAATTTATCAATGATTGGTTTCCAGTTTTTGTTAAGATTCATATTCGCCCCAACTAGAACTCCGAGGTAATTGAAGGGGAGTGAACCCGCCTCACATCCGAGAATGCTAGCCCAATTCTCAGTCTCCCTAACAGAAGCACCAATTCCAAATACTTTTGATTTGTTAAAATTGACTTTGAGACCCGAAGATGCATTGAAACATTTTAAAATGCTGGCTAAGTGTTTTAGGTTGGATCTGGACCATTCCCCCACGAATAAGGCATCGTCCGCATAGAACAGGTGCGTTAGGATGGGACCATGATTTGGGATTTGGATACCTTTAAAGATACCTTTTTCCTTTGCTGCCTCAAGCGCTACATTGAGGCCTTCCATGGCAATGATGAAGAGGAAAGGGGATAGGGGATCTCCTTGGCGAACACCTTTAGATATTTGAAACTCACATGTTGGCGAACCATTGATTAACACTGAAGCGCGGGATGAATTAAGGCAACCGTGCACCCAATGTCGCCACTTACTGCCGAAGCCCATCTGTGAGAGTACTGAATCGAGGTAATCCCAATTGATGGAATCAAATGCTTTGTCAAAGTCTACTTTAAACATCAAAATCTTTTTTTTGTTCACCTTTGACCAAGAGAGTAATTCGTTTATCATTAGTGGACCATCTAATATACTTCTTCCTTCAACATAAGCTGATTGTGCATCCCCGATAATATCGCCAATGACGGATTTGATTCTGAAGGCTAGGATTTTTGAGATGATTTTGGACATGCACCCCATAAGACTGATGGGGCGGTAATCTGAGAGAGATGGGGTCTTTGATCTTAGGGATCAGAGATATGAAAGTTGAGTTGCAGCCTCTTGACATGGTCCCAAACTTAGCAAAGTGAAGAACAAATTGCATGACATCATACTTTATTGTCTCCCAATAAGTCTTTAAGAATTTAAAGGTTAGGCCATCGGGTCTGGGAGCCTTCTCACTTCCACATGCCCATACTGCATTCTTGACTTCTTTATAACTAAATGGAGCTTCAAGTTTAATCGCTTGCATCATGGAGAGGGTTTTGAAATGAGGGCTTATAAGCTTGGGTCTCGATAATCTGGTCTCCGTAAATTTGTTCTTGAAGAACCAGAAAGCTGCGTTTTTGACCTCATTGGCATCTGAGATCCATTTACCATTTAACATTAGACCGTTAATTCTTTTACACGAGTTTTTACTGTTAATAAAACCGTGAAAGAATTTTGTGTTCTCATCTCCTTCAACATTCCATTTCACCCGAGCCTTTTGTTTTAAATCCATTACTGCAAGTTTTTCTACTTCCATTATCTTTTGTAAACTATGATTCCTGGTATCTAATTCGTACTCAGTAAGAGGACGTGATTCAGCTGCTTTCTCAATCAAAGCCACCTTCGATTTAATTTTTGATATCTCCTGATTTGAATCTTCATCTGATTTTTTCTTCCAGGCTTTGATTTCATTTTTTAGAAATCTGATTTTGCAGCTAGATATGCGTCCGGATTGCCATACCCCTGAAACTCCGCCCATGCTTTCTTAACGGTAAGATCAAACCCCTCTTTTAGTAACCATGAGTTAAATAACTTGAAAGGTGGAGGTCCATAGTCTGTGGAAGTACTAATTAGGGTGATTGGAGAATGATCGGATAACTCACGTGGGTGTGCTGTGACTGCAAGTGATGGAAAGGCTGCGAGGAAATTTGTGTATACCAGGAACCTATCCAATTTGCTCAGTTTTGCTCCAACTCTGGACATGTATGTATAGACTTCTCCTCCCATCCTAAAATCTTGTAACTCTAGGTCCCGAATGAACTTGTTAAAATAGAGGGCACTCACTGGACAGAAGTTTGAGTTAAATCTTTCTTCAGCTCTTCGTACTACATTAAAGTCTCCAAAAATGGTCCAATTGCCAGGCTTTGCGATTTTGATGGTTGCTAAATCATGCCATAATTTCTTTTGTTCCCCGGGGCTATGAGGTCCGTAGATATTTGCCAGTATGGTATCCCCATCTATTCCAATCCATTTGCCAATTATTATAAGGTAATGTCTAGATTTAATAGTCTTTTTTTTGGAGAAACAGTTGCAGTTCCAAATGGATATAAGTCCTCCTGACCTTCCACTAGAGTTAACACCTTCAAAATCGAAATCTTGAGATCCCCAACATCCATTCACGTCAATTCTTTCAACCTCTGTCATTTGTGTTTCTTGTAACCCCACGAAGTTTGCTCTGTGTACTCGCTTCAATTTCCTAACCCAGTTGACCTTTGCTTCTTCACCAATACCCCTTACGTTAAGTGACATGCAATTCATTGAATAACATTTTTTTCTCCGAAATCTACCTCTGTTTCTACAAGCTCTGGATCGTTGGCATCAATTTGAAAACCAATTGCGTTTCCAATCGCAGCCATATCTTTAAATTTTGATGGATGAGAAGTCTCTTTAGTCGACCGTGGAGTATTGTTGGTAAAATTGACGTCATCTTCATTTAGGAGATTCAAAATGGAGTCCATCTTTCCTTTGGAAGAATTAAAAGCCATCGATTTTGTCTGTGAAATGGAAGGGATTGAGTTGTAATCTTGTATCAGAGGACTAGTGCGTGGGGAAGAAAACACTACTTTATCATTTTTCCTTTTTTTTATGTTTAGGTCCACCGCCACTGTTCGAGTTGGAGTGTAATTCGTTATTTTGGGCCTGCTGGGATGTGAAGGAGAGTGGCATAGTATTGTTGGGGAATGGCCCAAAACATCCAAGTGGAACTAAGTTCTCCAGTGGCCCAAGAGTGTAAGTTACCGGTGGCCCATTTATGGGGATGTAAGCATCACATTCTTGGTTTGACCTAGAATCTACATTGGGCACTTTAAACGTCGTTCCTGCATTAAGATTAGTTAATGCAACATTACACGTCTTCTCGTAACTTGGATCCAACGATGCACTGGTTGGAGACTTTTCGATTCTCCCGTTTACCGATTTCGTTGCCGGGGAAAGTGCTACGGCCGCCGGAACCGCCGGAGATTGATGATTAGTCGGCTGGGTGTCGGTCTTCACTGTGTTCAACGATCGAATTTCACCTTCTTCTGGTTCCTCCATCTCCTCCTCCATCCAGGTTTCCGAGATTCCTTCTGTGTTATCGTCTTCCTCCTCCGAGTCGTCTACCTTGTCGAATGGAGCCGGTTTGAATGGAGACCGGTCGTCGGTGTACTCCACGACTCCAACCTTGAATTCACATCCGTTAGAATTAACGATGATTTCGTCGTTGATCCATCTCCTTGTTGAGGTGAGTACGCTGACTTTTCCCATGGAGTAGTCTCTCCTATTGGATATGCCATCAAATGGGTTAAGAACTTTACCATATCGACTGGCGATAATCGAGAAATTATTTTCTTCCCATAACTGTAAAGGAACGCCTGTAATCTTAAGCCAGGCAACTCGTTCATAATCCTGATGAAACTGATCTGCCATAACCAACCACTTGAACCAGTCTTGCCATCGATTTTTATCTTCTAGGTATTCTTTTGCTTCTGCTGACCACCGGAAGTGTATGGCGAGTTTAAGGCCTCCAAGATACTTCGTTTCTTCTTTTATGATTCCGAGTGTGTGTAGATTAGCCATATGATCGAGACTATGTGATTCACCGATTAGTACACCTTTCTTTAACCAATCTTTCATGAACGTGTTGGGGTTTAGGGTGATTGGGTAGGTATGTTGTTGTGGTTTTTCCACGTTGGAGTTACTTGGAGTTACTGACAGCTTGGGCATAAGTTCTGTTACTCCTAACCTCCGTATAGTGAGGTTGAGCACTATGATAGACGTTGGGTTGCATATTCTTACTTTGCATGAGTTGTCGGTGTGGTACTTGGTGTTGATATTGTTGGGTTTTCCGTTGGTGTTTGGAGATATTTACCTCCAAAGTCTTGCCTCTACACTTGATGCCCTGCAGTTTTAGTTCCATTTCTTTTGCATCCTTGACGCCGGCATATCTGACAAAAGCGAAGTTTCTTTTGTGGAGGTCCTTTTTTAGTCCGAAATACACGTCCATTACTTTACCGTGTCTGCTGAATGGCTCCCATAGCTCTTCCTTTCTTGTACCATCGGAGAATCCCGACACATAATAGTTCGTAAGAACTTTGTTCGCTTGAACTGTGTTCTTGTTCTTTCTTCGCCGGACTTCCGTCCATTCTCTGTTCTGTTGGTGACCCTTCATCTTCGTTCAGAGCGTTAGATGTTATCCTCTCTAAGCCCTATCTAAAGTAAAATAAAATTTAATGAGAGTATAAAACTAAAAACGAAATCACGCTTTAATCGTAAAATCATTTACTTTTAATAGCCTTTAGGTAGATCTCACTATCTCATTGTCAAGATTATTAAAAGAATCTATTTATGTTTACAATAACATCCACTTAATATTCAAAGTTCAAACGAATATAAAAACATTGAGATACATGTGCACAGAATAACATATATTTCTCTTGAAAATATGTTGAAACTATCGTTTTTAACTTAACCCCACACACACACACACACACACACACACACACACATATATATATATATATATATATATATATATATATATATATATATATATATATATATATATATATATTAGCAATATAAAATTAATTATCTAAAATTTCTAAGAACCATATAAATACAAAAAAGACCGACGTTACTGTCCACTATGCGAATCACCATGTGACCTGTGCATTGTTAAAATTATGCCTGCTCATGTGAAAACATTTCATGCCTTGTTATAATAGTTTTTAAACATATAGAAATTGTAAATTAAAAAGAAATAAGTTTCTTTTTCTCCAATCTGAAAAGAAATAATTTTGACTTTCCCCAATTTAATTTTTGTTTTATATTTTCAATATCTTCAACTCTTAAATCTCAATACACATATACACGTAAGAATAACGAAATACGACTTTATATGTAATTAATTACGGATTTGCATCAATAGTTTAGGGTAAAACAAACTTCTTTATTTGTCTTGATATTTAGATGTCTTTAACAGGGGTGAACATTTGAACCTCCGGACCGGACCGGACCAAGACATGGTAATCATCAACAGGTCTGGTCAAAGGTCCACAAATTTTTGTATAATAGATCCGGTCCAAACGATTACTTCTACATTATTGGAAATTTTATCTCTTCGCCTCCCAAACTACAACTCATTTCTATTTTTTCATTTTTTTCTTTACCATCTCTTCAAATCCTACTTTTTCAATATATTTAATGTTTCAATTTAACACTACACAACATATTTACAAAATCTAAACCTTAAACATGCAAACCCCGCGCTAAAATAAATAGTCTGACATGACACGACACAATAATTAAAATGTCAAACTATCTCAATCCGTCTAAATATTATTATGAATAATTACACTCACTCGTTTGCGGATTTTCTTTTTCTAGCCAAAATAAATTGATAACTCTATGTGTGGCATTTATATTATCATTCATGACGATGCATAATATTATCATCTTCCCGTTCCACCTTTAATTATGTGGCGAAAGAGATACTGTGAATTCGCGTGGCTCATAACCCAAACCACTCCTTTTAAATTCAAAGCTAACACTTGTATTCTTCTTTATCGATAAAAAGACGATACCATGAATAGACATGGAATAGACTACGAATTGAAGTTTGATAAAAGAAATGATATCTAAATAAGTAAGTGTCACATATAAGTAACAAAAGCTTTTCTAAAGTCCACTAGATACTGTAAATATATGAAAAAAAATACATGTCAAGGATTATGTTAAACTGTTTATTGAAACCTTAGCCATCTTTCTGTTGCCCCATCCCATTGGTGTCCCTTCTGGTCAATGAACAAGGACAAGGAAGAACACCAAAAAGTTTGCTTTGATTGTTGATGTGTAATAGAAATTTGTATCAGCTCATTGTAGATATTAGATACCGTGAGTATATCCCTTTGGAATTTATATAAACAATATTATCATTTTATTGGATGACGATTAAACAACTGTCACCTCAAAGTCTCAATATTGTTTTTGTTGCATTTGTCCTTGGCAAAGCATAAAGAGGCAAATGACCCACGAATAAATACTAAATGTTTATGGGGTTTCATCAATAATAAGTATTAAATTTTGACTAAATCCCATCATCACATGAATAATTATCATCTTAACGAAAGAAAAAGTGAAATTGAGAACTATATAAAGAGGATCAGCGCAACTATTCCCTCCAAACTCCTAACACCCAAAACACCAAATTGCAGCTTAATTTCTTGAGATTACAGTCAAACCCACCTGCTCTTTTTCGGATAATTATTTGTTCAATTAAATTGGAATCTTTAAACACATCACTCACCAGTCCCCCGTACACCTCTTCTCCTGAGAAAAAAACAAAAAAAATTCCATCTTTTGTAATTGTGTGTTCGCTCGTGCTCGTTGTAACACCCCAAATCCCAATAAAGCCATAAAGGTTAGGTTTCTTTTCTTAGTGTTATAATTTATTCGAATTCTAAGTTATTATATCGTGATTCGAGTTTATCGAATTGGGTTTCTGTGATTGAAAAAGAGATCACAACAAAGAGCGAAAAATTGCTGCTTTTGTGTGTGTTTTTTGTTGCGACTTAGAAGAGATGAATTCTACCCTCCTCAAATCTTTAAAGTAGTGTATGAGTTACTCTTTAATCAAATTGCTATTTTAGTAATTAGTATTATTTGTTTTGTTTGATTTACTGTTGTAGCTCTTTTACCCTACTCAAATCTTTTGAATATAATGCGGTAAGAGTGACTTGTTTGCTTGAAATTTGAATTAGACAAAACTGCAAGAATGGTCCCTGTGGTATGTCAAAACTAACAACTTTGGTCCAAAATGGGTTTGGCTCGCAAGGATGGTCCAATAGTTTCGTTTTGTTGCGAGTTTAGTCCAATTTCCTATGAACTTTTTTATAATGACGGATTTGCCCCTAATTATTTTATTTTCCATTTTCATTTATTACAATAATTAAAAACAATTAAAAATAAAACAAAAATAAATTAAAAATAAACAAAAATAAAATTCTCTCTCTCTCTCTCTCTCTCTCTCTCTCTCTCTCTCTCTCTCTCTCTCTCTCTCTCTCTCTCTCTCTCTCTCTCTCTCTCTCTCTCCAGATGAACACACAAAAAATAATCAAAAATCTAGAATACAAGAACACATAAAAAATATGAATTTCCTAAATCCTAAACTTGTAACCATGAAAGAGATCGAGTTCAGTGGTTTAGAATGGAACCCGAAATATACACAAATCCAAATACACACACAAAGATACAAAGATCTGCATATTTAGGATGTGAGGCGGAGTATAAATCGTCATCTGAACACGTGAATTCTCTCCTTCTCCGTCTTCAAGATCTGTTGAGTCGTCTATCGTGTCTCTCTTCTGGCGACACCGTCTTCAAGATCTAATGAGCATCAAGGGATGACGACAAGAAAACTCTAAATGTTCAGATCTCAATGATGGTTAAGGATGATAAATCTTCTTCTTCGACATGAGGATTTTCATCTGAAACCCTAAACGACGGCTGAAACCCTAAATACAAGCACACACGAAACCCTAGCGACGCATCATCTCCGATATGTTTCATCCTCCATCATTTCGTCTTCGGATTTGACAATCATTTTTAGGGGCGATGAAATGATTCAAGTTTAGATTTAGGTTTCATTGTAGAAATCGATTCAGGTGGTGGTGAAGGGCCTTGAAACACCGATAAGGGTTTCAGATCGACGGTGAGAGGGATAATCGGAAAAGGACAACTGTGGCGGTGCTCTTTCAGATCTTCACGGGGCTGCTAGGCAGTTGATGAAGCCCATCGGACGGAGATATATTGACGATGTCCATGAGCGGCGGTGACATAGATTAGATATCCAAAAAAACCCTACCTTGGAAACATCCATGGAGTCGATTTTTAGAAACTCACCCTTCGTTATTTTTCAGAAATTTTCCGAAACATCCATGAAGTCGATTTCCTGGGTTTTCATCATTGCTTTATGGGTTTTTGAGAGGCGATGATGGAATCATGGAGATTATATCCAGGAACACCGGAATCTGGAATGCACAAACTCATATTGATTAAGAAGGAAGAGATGAAGAAGATGAACTGTTCTTGGGTAAAAAGAAAAAAAAAATGTGGGGGGAGGGGGAATACGGTGGAGAGAGAGAGAGAGAGGGTATTATTTATGTTTTATTTTTAATTTATTTTTGTTTTATTTTTAATTATTGTAATAAAAGAAAAATTGAAAATAAAATAATAAGGGGCAAATCCGTCATTATAAAAAAGTTCATAGGAAATTTGACTAAACTCGCAACAAAAAGAAACTATTGGACCATACTTGCAAGCCAAACCCATTTTGGACCAAAATTGCTAGTTTTTACATACCACAGGGACCATTCTTGCATTTTTGTCTTTGAATTATCCATGGTCATTTCTGATCAACGATTCAACGATACGAATCTCATCCTTTAATTCTGACACAAATCAATTTTGGACAAATTCAGAAAAATTGCGGCTTACCAAACAAGTTTTCTGCCAAAAACCGGTTTAATACCCATCTGCTTTTGGCCAAAACCGGTGTGTATTCATGATTCATTGGGAGAAAACCGGATCGCTTTTTAAAGTGGCCCGGACCCGATTAAAAATTAAGTTTGGGCACCTCTAGACTCTAGGAGTGTTTTTTATATATCGTCTTTTTGTCATTAAAAAAAACATTCTATAATTATTGCTTTTCAACGATTTTGACCCATTAAATGAAAGCAATTTTTTGCCCATGATATATGTGTATAAAGAGACACATATTTTAATAAAAACGTTTAGAAAAGAAAAAGATCGGTGGGACGTGTGAGTATTATAATAATCACATGAATTTAAATCCTGTAGTCTTATAGGTGTATGATATAGACAACCACATCTTAGTGAGCATACATTATTTGAATCCCTTTTCATTATTCTCTTTTGTATCTATTCTTCATAAGTTTATAAAAGATTAAACAACGACAACTCATTGATATATTATTATTCAATTCATATTCAAATCTTGGATTTTGTTTATAATGTGTAGATCTCACTTGTACCATTATATAATTTATTAAGGACATGGGTTGAGTATCTCATATTTGGCATGTATAGATTGAAGTAATAGTTTTATTCATCTAGTAGTTATCTACATTACCCATTTTAATCAAATTTCTC